ACATCACCACAAAACATAAAACAAACAATTCTTCATTAAAAATACATTTTTCTTGTACATTGCTTAAAAAATGACAGACACCAAGGTAGTGACAGAGAAGGAGGGATGTGTGGTGTCCCTTCAATACATTGGCAATCATGGCTCTCCACAATTTCCTGCCCTTTGTAGCTCTTTAAAAAAAAAAAAAAAAATTTTATCTTTCCTAAACCTTGTTCCACCATCCATTTAAGCTCACTAGGTAGGTTATGTTATTTTCCTGTCTCTCTTGCCTTCAATCTACCCTGTGAGTATCAAGGTTTCCAAGCTCTTTTTCCTCATTATTTCAACAATACGTTCCTGATTTTAAGCATAAGTGACCTTTTTCTCCTTAAAATTTTGTTGTTGTTCACATGTTTGGTCCATAATAAGCACAGCATCCTTCTGCAGAGCCACATTTTTGTTGCTTCAAGTCACTTCTTCATTCGTGAAGAAATTGTCCAGAATTCACTGCCATATAGGAGGACTGATATTACATAACAGTTCAGTTCACTTTTCTTTGTAAAGAAATTTTTCTGTTTCTTAATACATTACTTAGCTTTTAGAAGGCATCTTTAACTATGCTAATGTGCTTTCAGATTTCAGTGTTGCATTTTCCTTCTTTTATTAAAATTCTTCCCAGATATTTAAATTGTTATACTTGTTTGATTTTTTGGTATCTCCAATTGTAATTTACATATTGGGCTGTTCCTTTTGCTAACAGTCATGCATTCTATCTTCTTGCAATTGATCTTTAGTCCTTTCTTTTCACTTTCCTTCACTACTTTCTGTAGGAGTTCTTGTAGTTTCTTTCTGCATATCTTTTGTTGTTAAGATTGTGGCTGCCAATAATGAATCCTGGTAGGACTTCTAATTCTCTCAGAATTGCCTCACTCTATAGTAGGTAACTCCAAAGAAATGTGATACATAAGGTTTAAAATGAATTTTTAAGAATGAAAAAAAAAAAAAAATCTTTCTTCAAGCCTTTATTTTAGTTTTAATCTAATAGATTAAATTTAATATTTCCAAAAAGCAAAATACTTCAATTAAAGTATAGCTAATTGAAATGGAAGGATTTAAAAAAAAAAAAAAAAAAAAAATCACTAAAAATTTCTGATTTTAGCCATCTGTCAATACAGTGTTATTCTCTTTATTAAAAAATCTTTCAAAAATCAAATATACTTTTCTGAAACTATTTGAGGAATAGCAGATTTAAAATTTAATTAATCTGGTTTGTAACAAATATTATTTACTTTTAGTTTAAAATATTACAGAAATGCATTTTTTGAACATGGAGTGTTTATTGAAGGTGTTGACAACTGGAAATTTAACTAATTTTTTCCTGGGGGAGACATATCTGTAAAAATTACTTGGAAAAAAATGAATGCAAGCACCTTTCTATATAATTCTTAACTACCCAGTAATCTTTAAAATTTCAGAAAATATTCTCTGCAATCTAATATTTTATTGAATTTTAGGTACTTGGGCTTTAAATTTAGTATAGCTACTGCTTATTTTCTGATAATGTGTATCGACGTCCACATTTACAAAAATCAGCTTGTTTAAACATGCACAAAAAAAAAAAAAAAAAAAATCACCTAACCTGTACAAATTAATACAGAATTTTAATAGATTTTAAACTTTAACAATTATTCTAATTTATTCTTTTTTAAAAATGAAAATAATTCTTATAAAAATTCATTATTCATTGAAAAATTTTTTTTTTCTTACAACAATAATGTCTATGAGATATATTATTCATAAAAGCAATTAAAAGCTTTTCTAATTAAATAATGTTGTCTTAGTTTTATTTACAATTCAGAGGATATTTTTAGTAACTGGGGTCCTATTTGACAAAAACAGAAAAAAAAATGATTTCTCCAAGGAGTACAGCATATAATTAATATAAACATTAAGCAATGCAAAAATGAATTTCTCGAAAAATTTCATAAAATTAAATCAGGAGGTAACAGATGTTAAAAAAAAAATAAATAAATAAAAATTCACCAAGATTTTCTAAAAAGGAAACATTTCTAAAATAATTTAATTTATTTGTGAATAATTCCTGAAAGTTTAATTGAAATCTGATAATTATTTGATTATTGCAAGAATTTCTAAATCAATGTGTTTTTCACCATAAAAAGATGCTCAAATTTCCTATACAAATTTATGGTCCCCTGCTGACATAAGAAAACAACATTTTTTTTTAAAATTTCAAATGTTCTGAAATGAATCAAAAAATATAATAATCAAAAAATTAATTTGGTCATTCCTCTCAATAAAGATTTTGATGAAAAAAATTGTTTTTATTATGTTCGGGGCATTTTTTTTCATCATGTATATTCATTTTTTAGCAAATCTGTGTAGGTTTGAATAATTTGGATGAGCAGACATATTTCTTGTCTTAAATGCCTGTTTTTAATAGGAGTGTGGGATAGAGAACAAAATAATTCTACATCTTAGCACTTGTCACTGAGCAAAAATTAGCAGAGGTTAATTTTGCATGTGATTTGAGGTTTTTTGGGTTTTTTTTTAAACTTTAGTTGGTTAATTAATGCAACCTTTTTCTATAGTTAGAATTCCCCAATAAATAGTAGAAGTCATTATATATGTTTTGAGTATACAAAATGTTTGGTATTCATTTGTTAATTTTCTGCGCTATGTTAGACATCCAAGCCCAATATTTTATAATAGTTGAATATCAGGTTGATTCCAAAAGAACTTAAACTGGCTTGCCTTGGGAATCCTGAATGATCTTGTTCACCAAAATGTAAGGAGAAAAAAATAAAATAAACATTTAAGTAGTTGTTTTATTTCATTATTTCTCACCAGTCAAGTTGGAACAAAGATAATTAAATTTATCATCTTTCTTACCTCTTGAACAAAGTATGTAGATCCAAGAGATAGATATATAGATAGATATATATATATATCTATCTATATATATATATATATATATATATATATATATATATATATATATATGCGCACAAAAAGATGCATTCAACTATATTTGTACATTCTCTGTATATCTTATATCTACATGCATCAAGCAAACTGAATTTAATTGAAGTGTTTCAGTAGGCACAGTCTTTATCACTTTTAGGATTTTATGTAGGTAAAACAAAAACAAGCTGGACCATGTGAATTGTTTTATGTCAGTTTGGTTTGCTTTGAGGCATATCAACCTCAATGGGTTATTTAATGTCAATAAGATTTTTATTGCTGGTAATAATTTTTTTCAAAAATGTATTATTGGTATTAAAACCTATTTTTACACTTTTATAGTATTTTGATCCCAGTTTGGGGTTTAACTATTTGCCCATAGCTGGGACCCTAACAGATGAATTTCTTTTTCTTTTAAAATATGTACTGGTGGTAATAATGTATGCTGGTAATAATTTTCCTTCAAAAATTCATTACCAGTAATAATTTTTTTACAAAAATGTATTGCTGGTATTATTTTTTGATGGTATTTTTACACTTTCATAGTGTTTTTACCCCAGTTTGGGAGGAGGGGGATCAACTATTTTCCTATAGCCAGGACCCTAACAGGGTCGGGGTGGACCCGGGAACACCAGCAATTAAGAGGCGGTTTCTCACTCCTCAAAACCTTCTGATCAGAGGCCTTGCTGTCAGATGTGGTTTATCATCTTACTCAGGACACCTCATTGGAGGGGGGGGGGTCTTACCCATCTGCAGAGGTGCAGTTAGTGTATTCTGAAGCCCCAGCTGACAGGGCATGCTTTAGGTCAGTGCTTTTAACATATGAAACAAGAGTCTTCCCAATCGTATATGAACAAAAACAAATTTCAAAATCTTTTTTTAGAGTAGTAAATGTATACTTGATAACCTGACATAAGCTCACAAGATTTTGGAAAGTGTAAATCTAAAGAAAATAGTCAATACTTATTAAAAATATCATTTATGTTATACTAATTTGGGTGTTAAGGAAAGCATAGAATATAATTAAAATTTTATTAAGATGTTTAACCGATATCTATTTTAATATTTTCTTTAAATATTATCTTAGCTAGTAAAGGAAAAATGTGATAAAAACAATTTTTAATTAAATGAATCAAGATATAGCCAAATTTATAATTCTAGATGAATAACAATTTTTATTTTATTTTTTAAAATCAAGAGGATAGTTTGTATTTAGTATATGAGAGAATAAAGAATGCAGCCCCAATTTTTCTAACTCTTGTGTTTTAATCATGGCAATGAAAAATAATGTTAAACAATGTGCATACACATTTTGTTTTGAGATCATTCAGTCAGCAGACAAATCAAGGAGATTAATAGATTTCTGAAGCCATTAATCAGGAGGTAACAAGAAATGAAACAGGATTCAGGAAACATGGCCCAAGAAGTGAAAACTTTGGCAAAGTTCAAGGAGCTCACATGAATGTCAGATGTCCAGCATGGTGGTCAAGAAAAGAGACAATTCCAAGAAGAGCAATCACCAAATATGTCATGTAGGAGAGAAGAAGAGCAAATCTCAACATTCCAAAATTTAACAGACACCTGAGGAAGGCTGGACAATATATTGCCCAAAATATGATAAAACAAGGAAATTATTCCAAAATAACCAATATACACTGATTAAAACAACTTTGTACAAAATAAATTCAACCAATAAGATTAGGTTAATTCAATTATTAATGATAGAAAAATGCAAGGACAAAAACTGTATATATTTACAAAGATTTATCACATGAGTGAGGAATCAAGTAAATCAATTTCAAGACTCTATAACAGATACCTTAAAATTCTATGTAAATAGTCATTTCAAGAAAAATGCAGCCTTAGAAAAATTCAAAAAAAAAAAAAAAAAAATTACTGAGTACAATAATTGCAAAATGATAGAATGGATCAGATATGGTACTGAATAAGAATTTACTCAACTTGTTGGTTTCATATAGTTTTTCAACCACAAAAATGTGTTGTACTTGCCATATACAAATAGACTTGAATAAACTTACCATCTGCACAATTCTGTTGCTCTAAGAGAGAACAATTCCCAAATACGACACCTGCTGTAAAATTTGAATTAGTAAAATCGACATTAGGTCCAGGCATCATACATCCAGTAAAGTCGATTCCAACTTGTAAAGGTGTTCCACCATCCAATTGTATTCTCCAGAGGTCACTGTTATAAGTACTGTTGGCTATTATTTTATCAAGAACTAACTGAGAACCTTTCAGAACTTTAAGTTGAAGTGTACCAAGTGAAAATTCCAAACTGACATAGTACCATACTTTATTGGTAAAGTTCTGTCCAGCTCTGATTGGAGACCAAGTGCTATTTAGAGTCCACTGCACTTGTAAAGCACCTTGATTTAGGGACAATGTAAGACTGTTACCATTAGCACCAACCTGGTGTAATAGCCTGCCATTTGAACAAGTACGGAAAGAGAGTCCTGTGATAGATTTGAGTTGCCAAGTATGAGGTAGGTTAATGATTCCTGTTTGGTTAAGATAGACTTGATGAGATGAACTTGTGAACTGGTAAAACGATTTTGCAGAAAGTATAGGCACAATCAAAATCAGCAGTCCTGCAACAAAAAGAAAAAACATTTTAGAATAAATTTAAAAACTAAATGTTTAGACATTCTAGTTTTATATTTATTTATTTATTTTTATACATTAAATTGTTAATGGGATGTTGTATTATACTTGTTATATTTTATAAAACACTAAGTTATCAATAGTCTATACTGGGTGTTTTATTCTTTAGAAAATGAACATTTTTCACTCCTTTATATAAATAGGCTTTTCTGGCACATTGATACCCATTTAGGAACCCTGTAAAAAACAAACAAATAATCTATGCAAAATATACAATTGATCTCAAATCAAACAAGTCTATCATAGAAGTGATTTACTAAGCCTAGCTTTTTTTTTTTTTTTTTAAAAAAAAAAAAAAAATGCCAGGTTAAGTATATAGGGTGTTTCAATAAAAATCAATTTTAAATGTGAATTAAGTTTAAGCAGCTAATGATTTTTTTCTTTTCCTTTCAGATTTAACAACTTAAGTCTTCAAATTTATAAATATACAGCCCAATGATTTAACTTTTTGTTTGATTGTTAATTTTGTTTTTCAGCAGTCTTATTCTGGCATGTTGCAGAGTCCTGTTGCCAGGCATAGGGTCTTCCAGCAGCCACCTTTTTGATCCTGGGAAGCATTACCTCTTCAAGGCACTTGATGTGATCAGTTCAAATACCTTTATAATCACCATTAGACTCATCCAACTCTTTCCTCTGCACTGTCCTCAGATTGACACCCAAACACTCTGAAATGTTCATATTGGAGCTTCCAGTGCAACTGCCAAGCAGTACAGCATGCCATTTCCAAATTTCTGGAGTAGTGAATTGCATCAGGTTGCTTTTTTCTCAGACAGTGCCCAACTGACCCTAATATATCGTACAGTTGACAAAATCAAGAACAAAATGCGCATGCACAAAATTAAAAATATAAAATGGCAACAATTTACCCATTACATCCTATAGGTTCAATTGGGCCAGCTAGATCACAATGAACAATGTCTCATATTCTATTGACACCTTCCACTGAATTAGGAAGGATTTCTCCTTCAAGCAGTGATTAAATAATTTCACTAAGGTTGCAGATAACTAAGTTAATATTAAGGACAACCACTGGGATTTTATCTGGACTAGTATCCTTCTTATTGAGAATTTGGTTGGAGATATTTCACAACTCTTGGGATCCAATTTGTTTGCTTTCAACCTTGGCCAGGACAGTTTGTGCATAGCTACTGTAACGAGCATGCGCGGAAGCGTCCTTGAACTGTGTGTGTGTGTGTGTGTGTGTGTCGCCGGACACACCTTGGAGTACCATAATGGACTTGACCGAGGACTACAAGAAGAAGACGCGTGAGTCGTTTGGCGTCTTTTCTTGGGTGACAAAAGCCACTGCGGTCGGTCATCCATCGGCAGCAGTCTTGGGTTGGGTGCCGTTTTGCTCGTTTGCCATCGTAAAGTGTTCATTCGGAGGAGAAGGCGTTCGTTTCAGGTTCGCAAGAAAGCGTTCGTTTTTGTGTTGCAAGAAGTTGCCCCCCCCCCGTTTTCTCGCACAGCTACACTTTGCTAGAACTCTCTTGCAATGATTGCAGGCATTTCTGAATGTAGCAAGTGTGCTACTAACCTGTTCCTTGTGATAGATATTGTAGTAGCGGTTATGGTGAGTTATGGTAACAACACATTCAGGGGGTGAACCAGGGCTGGTTGTTCAGTTTTGGCTGGATTTTTTTTCTGGATTATAAAACTCTTCATTCCAGAAAGATGAGGGCATCAGTTTTGGAGGTAGTATGTTTGAAGGAGGCTGAGAAAGAAGCTTCTGCTATGCAAAATCTGAAGCTGTCCCAGTCAGTTTTCATGTACCAAAACATTGTTCTGTGGAACAACACATCAGTGGATGCTTTTGGCTTGGAATGATCTAAAGTGCCCAGGGTGGGGAGTAAAACTTCAGCAACACATTTTTCAGGACAGGATATGAGGAAGAGGTCAAGGGTCTCTGTCACAGGGAAAATTGTCCTTAATACAGACACAGAGTCTGCAACTGTAGTGATTTTGATCGTCATCTTTAGGTATTAAGGATGAATAACTGAGATTGCAAGTTATTATGCACCTGCTGAGAGGACATCTTTGAATTTACTCAATGATTCAGATCCCTGACTATCAAGTGGATAATACCAAACCCCAGAAAATGTTTACCTCCAGCACCCTTAATGAAGGGACAAATAATCCAGGAAAGAAGATACAGGCATAATATCCCAAATGTACAGGTCTGTATATCCAGAAATGGTAACAGAACTTCTCGAGTCAGAAATATTGTACTGGATTGTAACTTCAGGTATTGAGACAAGCTCACTAATATACAAGGACTAAAAGACCCTCTTTTAGAAGGAGAGCAATATAGGTTACTCTTAATATAGTTAAATCAACTTCAGACAAATGTAGTAACCCATGAATAGACTAATATATAAAACATTAAAATTTTAAAACATTACTGACATTCTTACATCATTTTCTTATTAAAATATATGATGCTTACACACAATATTGTTATGTACTAGAGTTAGCTAAATCCTTAAATTACAATTTAAGATGAGTTTTACATTTTTAACTGACAAATAATAATTCAAAATAGCTTTTCCTAAGATTGTCAATTCAAAATAGTTGGAATCGTTTTTCACAAAAGGCCCTACCTGATCATCTTTTAATTTCATTCATGTTTAGATTACATAAAAAAGGTTAGTGATTAAAAATTAATGGTTGTAGGTATTTTCAACAAATACAACTTGGCTAAATAGTATTGACATTGACTGAGGCAAAGATAACAAAATTAGTAGTTTTCTGTTCTCAGTTGCATCAAAAAGCGACAGGACAACTAATTGAGAAGGGAAGTCCCCCTACTCATCGAAAGAAACTGTGCTTCCTGAAAAAATTCCTCTGGCATTAAACATGGTTAAGAAAGTGTGTGAGTGTGTGAGTGAGTGAGTGAGTGAGTGAAAAAAAAATAAAATAAAATAAAAGAAAGATCCATTTCCTAAAAACTTAAGACATTCAATGACCCCTCTACACCTCCATAGATACCTCTTAGACCTCTGGGTTCAAGTAAAATACTGATGGTGCCCCTACTTTCATAAACCCTAGTTTTAAATGGATCATTATGGGAACGGTAATGGAGTTTGCTTGGCATGTTTTAAATGATTAAAAAAAAAAAAAAAAAAAAAACTGTTCCCGTATGAACTCACTGATAATGCCTGAATGCTTAATACGGTAATAAAATACTGGCTTTACGAACAGTTAATTTTTTTTCTACCTTCAGAAATGCATTTTGTAGACTATTATCAAATAAAAAAGGTGAAAGAACAATCAAAGACTGCTGTACTAAAAGATACAATACAGACATCGACACAGAAATTAAATTCAAGAACTGGTTTGACAACGTTCTGTCAAAGAAAAACAGAAAAGGAGAGAAAATTCATTTTGCAATTTTCAAGGTCTTTACAGGTGAAATATCATAACTCCAACTTTCTTGTTCAAATGAGTGGGTGGTGGTTGTGTGGAGAAAAAAATAGATACACTATTAAATTAAAATTAAAAGTAAAATAAAAATGGCAAGTAAATGTGTAGTCTAAGTCTTTTAATGAAATATGAAAAGCAGTTATAATTTGGTTCAGTCAACCGCATCAGCTATCATTTTGCCAACATTAAATTGTTTACAGAAGAAAAGATTTTACAAGGAAAGAATTAAAACTGAAGTTTGTCTTTAAAAAGTCTAAATTACCATATTGTTAACATATCCATACAAAAGATTAAAAGTAAAAATAAAAAGATAATCTTGAAACTTAAATACTCAATTGTAAAAAAAATTAAGAAATTTCAGACATTGCAAAAACAGCAAACTAATTTCAATTTCTAAACTAGACAAGGCATTAACAGTCAGTTTATACTTTTAAAATTCAAAAGATATTTTATATACCGTACGTTCAAACTCTTAATCAGATAAAATGAAAATAAATAAAATAAGAAGGTTGTTGAGCGGGATTTGAAATATCAACCTCATGTAAAAAGTGAATGAGAGATATGACAATGTAAATATATGAAAAGTTCAAATAAAACACAAAAGTCTTTGCATAAAAACACTTGCATATATTTTCAAAATTCTTAATACAAAGTTAGCACATATCTACTTTCGAAAGACTATGTACCAAAAACAATATAAATTTTGTAATTATCTGTTTGGTTTGTCATGAGCTCAAATGCATGCATCTTGATAACTTACAGGAGCAAAAGAGAGAGATTGTCTTTCCCCTCTTACCAACGTCTTGTGCGGGTCTCATCAGGTCACGTGACTGTCTTTTATTCTTGTGAATATTTAGGATTAATTTTTATTGCTATTTTTGTTTGGGTCAAGGGGAGATAACTTTTTGTCTATCACTACAAACCTCCCCACCTACTAGTGGAGTCTAGTAGTAATGATATTGGTCATCACTTTTCCAAAAAACTTTTCCACCTACTTTTGTATGACTAGACTTACTATTTCTATCTAT